GGCTCGATAAATCGAGAATTTATTTTGAAAATGGTTTTAAAGCATAAAAACGCAATTAAGGTAAATGCGATAAAAACTATTACATTTGGGAATTGGGATACATTTTATTCAAATGGGGATGGAATTAAGAAAATAGATTAAAACCTTATCGAAGGAGTAACTGTGAGACTTGATAACCGAGATTGGAGGCAACTTCAAGACAGGCTCTACGCATTACTTCAACAGCTATTGGATTAACCAAAGGCATAAACTCCTTGATTAGAAAATTTGATTCTTTCTCTGAAATTCTTTCCAATTAAGAACATCAGGATACTGTTCACAACTAATTTCTATACATGGCCATGCCTCCGACTCACCCTTAAATAAAATGCTACAGTAAGGTAGAAATTCAGCATAAACTAGCAATTGTCCAATAAAATAAAATAAAAAGTTACTATTTAATGATCTGGAAAATTAGCGCCAAGGCATGCAACATGTATTCGAAGGGTGAACAGCGACCAATGTAACGTGGCTTATGAAATTACTACAATACTAGTAAGCAAAACACATAGAATTTGTGAAAATACTTGATACCGTAACGTAAACGCAAAGAAACAACACCGCTTGCATCTCATACAGAATAGAACGTTACAAATGCAAGTTTAAAAAATTGAAAGAATTAAACCTTATAACAGTGCCACATAGTTGATCTCTTTGAGACAAAAGGTTATTAGAATATTTTGGAATCAACCTAATTTCAAGAAAGTCGTCCAACATTAAAACTGAAAATAATACACAACTGTAATTCCAAAATTTTACATGAAAAAAAACCAAACCAGCATATTATATCAGGATACCAAAGACAGAAATCAGGAAACAGCAAACCATATTACGACGAAAATGATGTGTTACCGAACATAATCGCGGTGTAAATCCTTGTTGAGCTTTTATGAGAATCGAGCCATTTCGCCTTGAGCCGCCAACACACGGTCGTGGTTGTTGTTGTTTTCTACAGAACCAGGAAGCTTACTAGCTCAAACAGAGCAACCGTGGAATCCAACGTTGGTTAACCGTTCATCGGCGCCACTTCAATCTTCGTCTGCTTCCGCTTCACCAGATGGAGATGGTGTAGAACTTGAATTGCGAACATTTATTCAAACCGAAACTCGAAAACAGAGTAAAACCTTGAGCCAGATTATCTTGAGGTTGCCGTCGACTTATCATCGCGATGCACTTGCGGGATATACTGTTGTTGTCGCAGCTACTGAGAGTTGTTCGTTGTTGTTGCCATGGGTTATGAGCTATTGTTAAAACCCGAGTTGTAGAAGAGTTATGAATGGAGCTCTTTGTCGAAGGGGAATCGCGGGTTGCTTCGACCAGAATGTCGTTGCTGTGAATGTTTCTGACGTTGCAATGAGCGGAGCTTCACAAACCTGTTATAACTCTAACAGTGGTGGTGATTGTTGGGTTTTATGACGCGATAATAGAGACCCACAGTGGCGGTGTTTGATGGTTCGATCGGGTCGTTGAGGGTGAACGAGTTGGGCTTTCTGTGAGGGAGAAGAGTGAAGAGGTTCTAGATGGTGTTTAATGGAGATTTGAAGGGAGATGGCTGATGATGGTGTCGGCGGTTAGGAGAAAATGGTGGTTGAATTGAAAAGGGTTAGTGGAAAGGCGATGAAGAGGGAAAGAGAAAAGGTTCCGAGATGGGTTTGGAGAAGCTCGCGGCGGCGGCGAATGAGAGGTAGGGTTGATGAGGAGAAGAAATGATGGCTTAGGGTTCCCATTGATGATGATGAACAGTGAAATTCTCCCTTTATATACCCAATTTCATAACCCTAATTTCGCAATTCTCATCTCTTCCTACCGTGACTTGCTTCTTTACATTTTCTTTTTTCATTTTTTTCTTAATTTTTCTTAATTTTAATTAATTAACTCTAACTAAAAAAATCTAATTCTAAAAAATTCTAACTCTATTCTAATTCAATAATTCTAAATGAACTATTTTAATCTCTAATTTAATTTAAATAAATTCTAATTCTAAAGCTAATCTAATTAAAATCTAATCTAATTTCTAATTTAAAAAACTACATTCTAAATTCTAATCTTATTTAAAATTCTAATTCTATTTCTACTTAAAAAACTAATTTAAATTCTAAATAGTTAACTAACTCTAATTCTAACTAATTGAAAAACTAATCTAATCTATAATTAAAATTCTAATCTAATTTCTATTTTTCTAAAAAAATTAATTAATTAAGTTCTAATTTAAATCTAATATTAAAAAATCTATTCTAATTCTAATTCAAATTCTTAATAAAATTCTAGTTTCTAATTAACAAACTTATTAAAATTCTAATTAATATTCTAATATAATTCCTAATTAAAAATCTAATTTCTAATTCTATTCTAATCTAAACTAATTAATCAATTAATAATAAAACTATATTATATTAACATATCATAAAAAATGAAATTATGAAACAAAAATAATGATAAATATATACAAAAACAAATGCCACGTGACACGTTTTTATTGGGCTAAAAAGTGAAAATGTTTAATTTTTGCTGAAAAATACACAACCCTGTACAAGCGAGGTAAATCAAAAAATTAAGTCAGGCGAATGAAAATTTTGAAAAAGGTAGGACAAATTTGGGGTGTGATAAAAGGTAAGCCGCATTCAAGTCTTACTTGAAAAAATATATCTTCCTAAAATCCCAGACAATACTTTGTAAATGAAATACTAGAAATGTGTTATTTCCCGCGAGGAAGACATAATGATTAGGGGTGGAAAAAACGGTACGCCCTGTTGGAAAATCCCGTTTTCCCGCACTTTAGTGTGTGGCAGGCCAAGCGTTTAAGTTTGCATCCTCTAGCGTTCCTGCCCCGACCCATTTTCCTTACCATCTATTGCGGGTGCGAGCATTACATATATATTTTCATTACATAAAGATGAGTAAATAGGATGTCGGGGGTTTGAACCTGCTTTCATGCAATCACATGCCCCTTAAAGGTGAACAGAGTATACATTCACATCTCTTCTTCAACAAAACATATTAGAGAAAAGAGCGCTCCCATCCCCTAAGGATGAATACATTACATCGTCCCTTCTTTTTAGATTAAAATCTATATTTTCTTCCGTCTTTCATAAGTTACTCTTCAATTTCTTTTTAAGTATTTTAGTCTAATTTAATATATAACTTTTTTTGAGGGAACCCTTCTAAAACTATCCCAGTAATAACCAACATGCTTTGTTCATGTGGGATCTCGTTTAGTTGGTCACTTCTAGTATTTTTCTCCTTTGCACCCCCTAGGCCTGTCTTGATGTTAATAGGGAGTTTCACCATAATTATTGTGGCTCCTCCTCATTGTTTATTAAGATGATTAATCATTCCTATTGATTGAATTCTTACCTATGACAGTGTATGCAACTGGTATTTATTTTCTTCTCCATGGTTGAAATGCCTCTATTTTTTAGCCACTTGGATCATTTCACTCCTTCTCATTTGTGGTCCTTCTTCTTTCGACATCTTTTCTTTAGATCTAATTTTATTTTGGGGGAAGATTTAGATGCATTTCCCTTGCTGATTAAATCTTCGACATCATCCTCTACTGGTACACATTCTTCAGTGTTATGAACGTTACACATGTGGAAATGACAACATCAAAATTTGTTCGCTCTCGGACGTTCTCAAAGTGGTTTTGGTGTTTCAACTTTGCTAAGTGCAGAAAACAAACACTTTATGGGGTCCAAATTTGCTGATAGTATGGAATTAGAAGGAGATGTCTTCCATGCACTTCACGATGTTGAGAAGGCAACCCAAGTCAGTGAAAAACCTGTGATCCATTAGACAAGGGAAAGACAAGACAATACGACTTTACATGTTAAGGTTCCGCATAGAAACAACACTAGTCAAGGGCACCAACAATGAGAGAAAGAAGTACTTGTTAAGTCTAAAATTTCATCTGGGATCCACACTCGCCAAAAGTATTGGAATTAAGGCCTTTAAAACCTTCAACAACAACAACTTATGAGAGCTTCATTTACAAGGGAAAGACAAGCATGTAAGAAGAAGGGTGAATGTAATTTATTTATCATTTAGGGGAAGAAAATGTCATTTTTTAATGATATGTTTTGTCAAAGAAGAGATGTAAGTGTATAATCTATTCACCTTTAAATAACGTCCGATTACATGTGAGTGAGTTTAAAACTGCAACAACCTTTTTATTTTCCTTTAAATGATGAAATTATGACCCCTAGCCTATTAGACCAAAATATAAAGAAAAACTTAAGAGGAAAGGATAATGTAATATGGTGGGATAATATAATATGATAGGAGGGAAGTGTAATATATTTTGTATAAAAGGGGATGAGAATGTGTATTTTAATACAAAAGAGGAGGATCATGTAATAAGAATATCTTTCATAAAAAGAAAATGTAATATATTTTACATAGATAAGAAGAAAATATATTTTAACGAGAAGTGTAATATGAATATCATTTACTCTAAAATAAAGACTTATCAAAAGAAACTCAAAGCCGTCCAAATAGTATGAGATAAAAACTCCTTTTAACGTATTTTTTTAATATTTGGTCTATCGTCAAATTTATGCTAGCAGTGTCGCTACCACCGACGTGTAAAATTCATTTGGTCAAATCTCAAGTTTAATTTCCATTTTTATCAGTGTCGTTATCCACTTGTGATTATTTATTGTTGTTTCTTTTGTTCACACTTAAAATTTTGTCAGAGTAGTTCAATTTAATACATCAAATTCTTAGTTTTAGAACAATAAAAAATGCACGTGTCAAAGTAGAATATTTAATCCTTTTAAGCTAAAATGACAAAATTAGGTAACAGAACTATTTATAATTGAAAAGGCCACACTTTAAGTACAAAACTTTACAAAGCAGATTATTCTGCAAAATCAAACATTAAAATCACGTTTCTAATTCTACAACTAATTAAATAAACACAAACTATCAAAAAATAACTCTTCCGTAGTTATCAAATTCAGGAACTAAAAAGTGCTTCCTGTTCTTGAATCAGAAGAATCTCCGCCAAAATCCATAAACCTCATAAGCTGCTGAAAATCAGCTTCCCCAATCCTATCCCAAAAATCACAATCCATTTGCATTTCTTGATTCAAATTCTCATCCTTGACATCCTTGACATTCTCTGTACTGGGAACAACCACTTCTGGCTCCTCCGCTTGCTTTGTAAGCGATTCATCGACTAATGGAAAATTGAGCTTGGCTCTGGGTCCTCGGAACTCGATGGCGGCATTGTCGTAAGCTCTAGCAGCTTCCTCCGCCGTGGTGAAAGTTCCGAGCCAAACACGTGCGGCGCGTCTCGGGTCGCGAATCTCAGCAGCCCATTTTCCCCATGGTCTCTGTCTCACTCCTCTGTACTTCTTCTTAGCTCTCTTTTGTTTTTTCTTGTTCTCCTCCGGGAAGAAATTGCATCCTAAACATCCTGCTATGTTGCATTCACGGCAGGTTTCCATGGTTGCCGATGGAACTATTTTATCTAAGCTGCTAGTACTTCCGACGGAGGGATCGGGATTGCGAAATTCAGGTATTGAATTAGCGGTGGAGGTGGAGGTGGAGCCGGAGACGACGTTGGTTAGAGCGGCGACGATGACGGAGAGTTCTTGGTCGGAGGTGAGAGAAGTAGGAGAGTAGTTCATTTTAGGAAGTGTCGAAACTGAGAAGAGTAAGTCGCAGGTTGTTTTTGTTGCTGTTGTGTTGGAGTCTGGAGCGTTTAAGGTTTTGAAGGTTTTGAAGATTTTGAAGTTGAACAAAAGTCAGAGGTTTGAAGTTGGTTTATATACGGTTTGGAAGTGACGTGGCTGGTAAGAGACAACTGTGCACACAACTCACACACGGTTTCTTTTTGGTCTTTGTGAAGTTGGATAATACTAATCACGTGGGATATTGTATTGTATTTGAAGAAAGTAGAAAGAGAAAGTCATAAAGGATTTTGATGTGTGATGACGATTTGTGTCTGGTGGTGGGGTAGGTTGGTGATTTGGGGGTACCAGCAACATAACGAAAACGAAAGGGGAGTTCACTTGACAGAGTAAAGACTGTGTTTTGACCTTTCTCTTTAGTGTTGACGGTTTCATTGTACGACCCTATTTTCTAGACTTCCATTACATGGTCCTACGCTATTTATTATTTTGTCAATAGCTATTATAAATCATAATTTTTAAATTTAACTAATGAGAGCAATTGAGTAATTCAAAATGGAAAAAGATTTCATGCTATTTCACATTCAACTCTTTTAAATTAAGTTCATATTATTAGTGTGATTTATTTGCTTAAGGAGTGTTGACATGAAAGCATTTATATTAAATATTATTTACTTCATTTATTTTATTTATCATTTATTTCATTTATTCAAAGTTTGTTTTCTTTTTTCAATTGGTTGCTGTTTAAATGTTTAATTCTAAGTCAAACAAAATTTTTACCATAATTTATTTTTGAGATTTTTCAAGTTAATTTTTTAAGTGAGTTAAATTTGTGGTTGTTTGCTAAAAATACTAGTAAACAAATTGGCACGTCCGATAGAACTCTTTTGTGTAAAGAGTTTGATTTTTTTTACAGAAAATTTGTGTCTCTTTGGTTCAAAATTTTGTTCTTTGTTTATGAAATGGATTTAGTTGTCGAATGTGTACGCGTCTGAGGAGTGACAATACTCTTCCTGAAATGAAACTTCCACCGTCTAAAAATCTCCCCCTCCTTAAAACAATGCTTCAAACTCATAACAACCACTCGAATCGACGACTGACTATGTAAGAACTTCAACTTCTAGTGGAGAAATGTCTACCGTTATAAGTCAGGTAACGACGTCAACCGTATCACTAGAAATTGTGATATCCTTACCACAAGTAACAAGTGTGCCCACTACCCTTAGGACTACGCAAAGTATGATAGGATACCAAATGCTTCCTTTTCCCTTGAATTTCACGTTACCTCGAAGTGGTAGGGAACAATCTTATGGCATGCCAACTGCAATGATGGCAAGCTTGCATCCTAGTGCATCTATGTATGCAGATAATGCAATGGCTACGACATCATCTGTTATTCCATACTTGGCATCTGGGTCTGCTATTAGCAACCTTGGTTGAATGGCAAAACCTCTAGGAGGGTTAACATATATTCCTCTAGGGATGTCATCCTTAACCAATAATTTTCTCTAGTCTGTAAGACAACAGATAGACGAGAGTAATCACAAAATGGTTAACATGTTAACACAATAAATAGGTACAATGTTCAACCCTTTGATTCAGAACACTAACCACATTTACCATCAATTGGGTAGAATTGATGATTTCTTTGATGCCCTTAAAGTGCCTACTCAGCAGGTGCCTGATAACTAAATGCCACAACAGGTGATACCTGTCGAACCACCCATACTCAAGGTAGTCGAAGGTGCCAAAATGGCTCTGACGTGATAATGGTGCATATGAACCAAGATGTTGACCAAGTAGTTAGAAATTCCCAGCAAAATAATATTGCAGGATAAAACAACATAACTAATATGGTCGAACAAATTTTCTCCCAAAATGGCCTCAATGTGGGTCTGCATAGGCCACATTTTGTCTCTACATGAATTGATTATGTATTGCAGACTGATTTACCAAGGGTTTGAAAATCCCCAAATTCACTAAGTTTGTAGAGGATACTAACGAGTCCACTATCGAACATGTGGCGCAATATTAGTCAGATGCAAAAGACATATATAATAATGAAAATTTGAAGATGAAATTCTTTTAAAATTCTCTCACAAAAAAATGCTTTCTAATAAGTTCTAATATGCTGTTAGAACTTATTAGAAAGGGTATTTCAAGAACAATTTTACATGGGACAATCCATGATTAGCCTCAAAGAGTTAGCTAGTGTGAGGCGTGAGGTGGCTGAATCAATAGATGACTACATAAACAGGTTCAGGATATTGAAAGCAAGGTGTTTCACTTAAGTTCCTAAACATGAATTAGTCGAACTGGCTATATGGGGTCTAGATTATTTCATTAGGAAGAAATTAGACACCTAGTATTTAAGAGACATGACCCTATCAGCAGACAAGGTTTGACAAGTAAAATGATTGAAGGCTGAAAAGGTTAGGTCTAAGAAATACCATTGAAAAAAAGAAAACGTAGCCTACGTCGAAATAGATGAATTTGACCAAAAATCCAACATTGATTGTGTCAAAGAAAGTGAGGTTAATCTGGAAAAGTTAAAGACATGTCCACCTTATGTATGTAAGTTATTAAAACCTTCAAACGGGAAGAATCCTGTTGAGCCAATAAAAAAAGAGGGATTTGTCATAAAAACATACACGTTTGATGTAACTAAGTGTGACAAAATTTTTGACTTATTAGTTTCTAATGGTCAGATCATAGTCTTTCTGAGATTTTGTAAGTTCCATAACTTTCTTGGTCATAAAACTTCTCAATGTGTCCTTTTAAAGGATTTGGTTTAGAATGAGTTGAAGGAAGGGAGACTCAAGTTTGTTGAAAAACAAAAGTCCCAGAATGAAGTCGACTCTGATCCCAAAGTGGAAGAGGCCCTATTTGTAGAGCTTGTAGAGATATTAATAGTCGATGTCACTGACGATCCAAACATCAAAATTGATGAGGTGAACATGCTCAACTACAATGAGCAAGTAATTGTGGTCTATCCTAGAGCTGAAGAGGAGCTGGTATATTTTTTGAACACATGTAAAATCAAAGATTCAGCGGTTATGCTCTGTCACCGTTGCACTTTAGTCTTTGACAAGCAAGCTACAAAAGAGGTTGAAAAAATCATACCTTAGACATACTAACCAAGGTGGGATGGTAAGCAAGACAAATAAGGAAGTTTTGTCTTTTAAAAAAGGGGAATCCTTTATAGATTACGACAAAGTAGGACCTATATCCCACCAGCCAATGTTCCCTTAGAATAGTGGGCCAGGCCTGCAAATAAAACCGATAATGATCGAGGTAAATGGGGAACAATCAAAGTTGGTGTAGGTTCATTATACCAAGATAACTCAATGGAGGAAACATCAACGAAAAAAGAAATATGCCTTGGTGGTAGAAGGTTCAACCAAATATGGGCAAGAAGTATTCCTATAATTCAAAAAATTATCTGGGCAAGAATCCAATGACCATGACTCAATGGAGGAGACATCAACGAAAAAAGAAATATGCCTTGGTGGTAGAAGGTTCAACCAAATATGGTAGTATTCAAAGTACCAATGAAGTCTAGTCGACTAGAAGGTCTATAAAGCAAACGTCATTCCCACTTTTGCAACCTAAGATGAAAGAGGTCGTGCACGACCAAGATGAAGACATGGATACTAACAACTTCGATTTTGGCTCAGAGTCTGGGCTAGACATCATCTGTAGCATGATGTCAATGTTAGTGATTGAGTATGATACATTCACCAAGGTGATTGAAGAATAAGATAATGAGTTGATAGAAGATATGTCGAAGCACAATCCCTTTTGCTATTACGTGATTAAATATGACTCAATAGACAAAGAAGGCTATATTTTAACGACTTGATGTGTGAATGCAACAACATCTAAATCTCTTGTTTAAAAGAGTTAAAGTTGAGTACATGGGCATAAAGAAGGTTGTAGTTGATGGCAAACATGCATCAACATCATAACACACTCCATGCTGAGAAATATTGGCAAGTAGGACACTGACCTGAAGCCTCACAACATGGTCTTGTCGAACTATGAAATGAAGACCAACAAAACCCCAAGGGTCATTAAGGTAGAAGTAGTTGTAGGGACCACCTATAGACCTACCTTATTTTTGGTCATCCCTAGAAAGCCCAACTACAACTTTCTCCTTGGTAGGCAGTGTACCCATGGGATCAGAGAAGTCCCTTGGATGATGCATCAGCAGGCCACCATCTACAAACCTGATGGTATTGTCAAAAATAAAGAGGTTGATCAAAGTTACTTTATGGAAAATGTGAATTATGTCGACATGAATACATTTGACAGAAGATTGGCGAAAATTTTGCCATGTACTCCAGCTGGAACTGGATTTTTTCCAGGAAGTTAACGTCTACTACTCAATTAAGTTGCACTCTACTCACATGTTTATATGTGAATATGAGACCATCAATGGGCATAATAGATGATCTGATTTAGAGGACAATGATGTCTCAGTCGATCGCATTGGCTCAAATTTTGGCCTATGTGGCTGAAAAGAAACTAAAAATGAATCTAGAGGTTATGCCCCAACCAAAGTTGGTCATTGAAGCCACAACTATTGAAACATTAAAAATTGACCGGAAGGGCTAAAAAACAGCTTCATAAAGTTGAAAGCTCGATTGCATCTATGATGATGAGGCTTTGGTGTTTGAGAAAGATCCAACAACTTCGACCAACAGGATAAAATCTCAAGATCCTTTAAAAGAAATAGACTTATGAGATGGGATGATCAAAAGGCCAACTTATATACGTGCCAAAATCAACCCAAGCCTGAGAACATAAATAATCAAAATATATACTAAAGAAGTTCAATGATTGTTTTGCTTGGGATTATAACGAGATTCCAGGACTTAGTTAGGATTTGGTGGAGTTAAAACTGCCAACCTGGCATGAAGCCAGTAAAGTACTCGCGAAAAAGGTTTGCACCATAAGTCATGTCGAAGATCAAAGCAGAAACCAAAAGACTTCTC